CAGTTTTGGTATTCCCGCACCTCCTCCTAACTTCCAAACTACGAATTCTCTGCATTATATTCACACCACACATTGCCCTCAGACATGACATCTCCACTGCCTCCAGCCTTCTCACTGCAACATTCATCACCCATGCTTCACACCCATATAAGAGCGTTGGTAAAACTATACTCTCATACATTCCCCTCTTTGCCTCCAAGGACAAAGTTCTTTGTCTCCACAGACTCCTAAGTGCACCACTCACCCTTTTCCCCTCATCAATTCTATGATTCACCTCATCTTTCATAGACCCATCCGCTGACACGTCCACTCCCAAATATCTGAATACATTCACCTCCTCCATACTCTCTCCCTCCAATCTGATATCCAATCTTTCATCACCTAATCTTTTTGTTATCCTCATAACCTTACTCTTTCCTGTATTCACTTTTAATTTTCTTCTTTTGCATACCCTACCAAATTCATCCACCAATCTCTGCAACTTCTCTTCAGAATCTCCCTTTTATATTGTCTCCTTTATTTTAGCTTTAAAGAACTACCTTAGCTCATATTTTTACACTTGTTAAAATAATTCAGGTGCAATTTTTTAGCTTTAGAATATTTACTTTCTTATACTTAATTCTAACTTTAGATTCACTATAAATCTTATGATTACAAGCATTGATCCTGATACCAACCTCTTATTGAATGACTTAAATGAATCAAACAGTAACTGTAATTACTACACAGCAGAACAATCAAAGGCACTTCTCAGAGCCAACAACAACATAACTGTCTTTAACTACAATATCAGGTCTTTAAACAAACATTACGATGACCTCATAGCGTTACTAAATTCCCTGCATGCCAGTATGTCCATCATTACTCTCACAGAAACCTGGCTAAAGCCTGATACTACAGTTGTCTATGCCATTCCTGGTTACACAGCCATACACAACTGTAGGCCAGATCAACAAGGGGGTGGCACAACTGTATACTACTCAGACCAACTAGAATGTATCACTAATACCTGCACAAGGGATGAACATGGGGAATATATAATAGCTAAATTCAAATCCAAACACGTACAAAAACTTCTCACAGTGATAAGCATCTACAGAGTACCACAGTCAAACATTAGCCGTTTTAGTGAAAACCTAGGAAGTATGATAACTGATGCACACATGAATAAAGATCACTTACTACTCTCAGGTGACTTCAGTATAAATCTCCTGCAAGATCAGGACCCACACATTACTGAATTCACACACACTATGAGTAACTGCTTATTGCTACCAACAGTAACAAAACCTACAAGAATTACGGAGACTAGTGTTTCCCTACTAGACCACATCTGGACCAACACCATATCCCTTTTAAAATCAGGCATAATCACAGATAATACCACAGACCACTACCCTACCTTCCTCATAACTAATCTAGGCAAATTACCCCAAGACACTACTAAAGTCACTTTCAGACTTCACAGTGAGGCAGCCACTAATAACTTCACAACAGCAGTGACAAACATTGACTGGCACACTGAGCTAGAAATCTATACAGATATTGACGAATGTATTAATAATTTTCTAAAAAAGGCCCAATAAATCTATAACAAGCACTGCCCTAAAAAAAAAACTAAACAGATGACAGCTAAGAGACTGAACAGTCCCTGGCTAACACCCAGCATCCTCAAATCTATAAATACAAAGCACCTATACAAAAAACAGTACAGAATGGGTCACATAACCAGAGACCAAACAAAATGTTACTCGTTAATCCTAACCAGCCTGATAAGAAGGGCTAAAAAATTGTATTATGAGAACAGATTATCCAACTTAAAAGGTGATATAAAAAAGACCTTGAAAACCCTATCAGAAGTTCTAGAAACAAAAAAGATATCACAAAATAGCACAATTGAACTAACAAAACCAGATGAACCCCAACTCCCAGCAACTGAAACAGCAAACAGACTCAATGATATCTTCTCCACCTTAGGAAAAAACCTTGCCAATAAAATCCCAAGCTCAAATACCCCACCCAGTGACTACCTCACTGGCAGCTACTCGAACACACTGTTCCTAGCTCCAACTAACCCAACAGAAGTCTCCCTTATTATCAACACACTAGAAAACAAGACAGGAGATTTAAATACCTTACCACCCTTTATATACAAAAAAACGTCGCAAGTGCTGTCACCGATCATTACAACACTCTTTAACAAATCCATCTAATCCTCTACCTTCCCTACAGTTCTCAAAATAGCGAGGGTCACTCTGATCCATAAAGGAGGAGACCAAACAAACTTGAATAACTATAGGCCAATATCCAACTTACACCCTCTCTCTAAAATCTTTGAAAAACTATTTCATAAGCGAATTTATTCCTACCTCATCTCCCACAACATTCTCAACCGCTATCAGTTTAGGTTCAGGCCTAATAAAAATACAAATGATGCTATTATACACATGCTAGAACAAATATACACTTCACTAAAAAAAAAAGAAGTCCCGCTGGGGATCCTCATTGATTTACGTAAAGCTTTTGATACAGTTGACCATGACTTGCTCCACATAAAATTGTCGCACTATGGTATAAGAGGGCACTCCCTCAACTACCTAAAGTCATACCTCAGCAACAGAAGCCAATAGGTGTACACAAATGGAGCAAACTCTTCTGCACAGCCAATTACAGTTGGTGTCCCACAGGTAAGTGTCCTTGGCCCTCTTCTCTTTCTCGTTTCCATAAATGACCTACCAAATGCATTGCAACTACTCAAACCCACACTATTTGCAGATGACACTACATACGTCTTCTCTCACCCGAGCTCAGTCATGTTAGCCAATACTGTAAATACCAAATTAAAGAAAATATCTACCTGGATGAGGTCTAACAAACTTACTCTCAACATTGACAAAACCTACTTCATTCAGTTTGGTAACAGAGCTACAGATGTCCCTCTTAACATAATGATAAATGGATCACCTATCACAAAACTCACAGAGGGAAAATTCTTAGGAATCCACCTTGATAATAGACTCAAATTTCAAACACATATACAACAAATTTCCAAGAAAATTTCCAAGACCGTAGGCATACTATCGAAGATATGGTACTATGTTCCACAGTCAGCCCTCCTGGCCCTATATCACTCATTTATTTGCCCCTATCTCACCTATGGAATTTGTGCATGGGGCTCAACAACAACAAAACATCTCAGACCATTAATTACCCAACAAAAGGCTGCAGTCAGAATGATAACAAATTCCCACTACAGTCAGCACACTCCACCAATATTCAAAACTCCAAACCTACTCACCATACAAAACATCCATACTTATTATTGTACTACATACATAGAACACTTAACTCGGATATATACCCTCCCCTCAAACGTCTCCTTACCAACCTCAGCAGAACACATGACCATAACACAAGGCACAGATCACTCTTTGATGTTCCTCGTGTCCATCTCACACTATGCAAAAACTCAATGCACATAAAAGGCCCAAAAATCTGGAATTCATTACCTGTCAATATAAAAGAAACACTGTCTGTTTATAAATTCAAGTCTCTTCTTAAAAATCACTTACTCACCCACAACTAAATAAATACTGAATAATTGTATCTCATAAATCTTTAACCTGTGACCCAATCAATCTTTGTTATTTTTAATGACATTACCTAACAGAATACTCCATTCTACTGAATGCACAGCAACACATTAAATGACCATATGACCTGTCTATGAAATACAGTACTCATTTGTGCTTAATTGTTATCTGTATACAATAATGTTTACCACTGAAAATATCATTGCTTAGTTAATCTTAAGTTAATTTTAAGCCTGCCCATAATGCTCTGCATACAAGGGGCTTTGGCATGTTACACTTAACCACTGTATTTCTTTGTACTTCTATGTATCATGTTCAATTAATAAATAAATAAATAAATAAATAAATGCATCAGTGATATTTCAAATGTATCTCAGCATCTTAGACCTGTTCTCTTTGCCAACAACACAAATTTTGTCTAATTCCCTCAACAACACTGTTCTCCTTCTTTTCAAAGACTTAAACCTGCTTAAAAAAGTTGATTTAAAGAAAAAAGGCTCTTTAACAACCCTGCTTTCAATAGCTTACCATCTATTCCATACATTTGCAGCATCTGCCACATTGCTCTCATATCCACCCTATCATATGCTATTCTAAATCCCTAAGTGTAACAAAAAAGGGAGTATTTCTTGCCTTAGATAAAAGTAGGGAACATTCCCTACCCTTCAAAAAACCTCGTTCCTCTGCAATTGTAAATTGCTTTCTTACCCTTAATTCTTCCAGTAATAACTGGTGGAGATATCTTCATAAAAATTTAACTTTTCCTGTGTATGGGATAGGTTGTCATGAGAGATAGTAATTCCCAAGTGATAGTAGCTCCAGCTATGCTGGAATGAAATCTCTGAAGCTCCCATAGTTAATGAACCCTTAATGGAATACAGTTCTCAGAGATATCCTCAATGCCTTACTGAGGTCTTCCAGATAGGTTGACAGATTTTGAAACGTTGTATGTGCCCCATCCTGGGTGATGAATTATTACAAGGACAACATTTGTTCCAACTGTGTAACTGTCATATAGTTCTGATGTATCCACTTTTCATAATAAAAATAATATAGTACTCTTTACCCAATATACTCAACAGGCTAATTACCCTATAATTCTAAAACACTTATCCCCTTTTCCCTGTACAAAGGTACTTGGCATGATCTCTGCTTATTGGAAATTCACTGTTGCAATAACTGCTTTAATCAGTCAGAAATTACATAAAAAAACATATTAATGGGTGTTAAATTACACTAAATGAGTAGGTTCAATACCTAGGAACTAGTCAGCTGGGTTGGGTTGCATCTTAGTAGAGGAGTCGAGTGGAAATAAGCTATTCAGTATTGCTGTACTAGCTTTGTTGGGTTATCTTGGGTTAATAACACTTCTGTATTAACACCAAGTAAGTCTTCTCTTTCTTTTAGGTCCACAATTGGACGGTGGATCAGACTGTGGCTTGGCTTGCAGAATCTGTTGAACTTCAGCAGTATGCCAGAAACTTCTATGAAAATGCAGTCAATGGATCAGTTTTGCCAAGGTTAGCTATTTTATTTTTTTCTTGGCTATTTAATTTCCAGGCATTACATAGCTGTTTTTTTAGTTAGCTGACTTTTATAGTATCCCAAGTGCTGTAAGCATAATCAATGCTACCACATGCAGTTTCACTGTGGTTTTGGCTTGACTGCTTTTCTAATCGATAATTTTTATTTTTTATTTTTATGGATAATACTATAGCTTTTTAACTACATTCTTATGTGTTCTGAAACATTGTGATGGACAGAAATGTGGTCATGACAATCCCCAATTATCAGATATTTCTGTTAAAGATATAGGAACCTTGCAGCTATCATTATTTATGTCAATATATTACAATTTATTAAGTTATGTAATTATGAAGAAAAAATATTCATATCTGCTTGAATTGAAGCATGCTTTCATTTTCCATGGGAAATTTGAATGTGTGTAGTTTCCTACATATTTGTTCACTCCAAAATCCAGTACAATATTGAGAAGACATAATTGAAGAACAAAAAATTTCTTCACTACATGTTTTAGTCAATTTAGCGGCCCTACCTCTTTTTTTCACTTCTGCAGTACTGTTCTCAGCGTGATTTCTACCCGTACCGAAAGAAGAAATTCAAGGTATATAATAGAAAGGTGAATTCACAAACACGTCAGTGACGTTAATGTGTACTCCCTTGTAATTAATTTATGATTTGCACTTCTAACATGATAAAAGTTACAAGGCCTTCATGCTGTTTCATGAGATGGCTTACTTGTGGCATTGCATCCATTATATGTTTTGTATTTATTTAGAACAATCTGATACCTTGCGTGTGCTGTTTTCTATTATCATTTAAAGTGCCTTTCGCATAGATAGCTGCATGATCATTACCATAACCTATGTAATGATGTTGCTTCTTGTGTAACATGGACTTCCTGATTACATGGTATATTTGTATTTTTGCTATTTTATTTTTTGGTTGAATTGAAGAATATTATAGTATATAAAATAAATATATTTTATGTGTAAATATGTCTTAAATAAATTTTGAAGACTTGTGATCACATTCATTATCACATTACTGTAAAGAATTTAGTCAGACAAAAAATTTTTGTTGATGCTTAAATTGTATATCTGTGCATACATAGATGTGTAAAACCTGATGACATTTACTTGAGTCAAACTGAGATAACTTCACAAGCATCTTAGTGTAAGTGTGGAATACCATATGAATATTTGTAGTATTCAAATTTCCAGTGTATTACTTTAATAATGTGTGGGAAATATAGTTTTATTCATTGGCAGTTTTTCACAAAGCTTCATTATAATGGTGGTCTCCTGCAGCTGTTCTTAGCTAACATCTCTAATAATATTTTCTCAGTGTGTGATGAAACCTTCCCAAGTGTGAAGGCATTATTCCAGGGCCTTGACATTGAATTGGCTGCTGCTGAACTTGCCAACATGACACCCTACCATCTCTGGCTCAAGTTTTAAACCCATCATTATTATGGTTCTATTCCCATATCGTGTACTTTAGTTACCTTCTCATGCAAGAGTAAAATTACTACTGTACATATTTCCCGATCATTGTTGAAGGTCATAGGTGTATGGTTGTTTTACAGTTCTCTCCAAGTGTATGTCATCATTTTTTTTTATTTTTAGTATAAAAAATGTATTTAGTGCCATTGAACTTAGAATCATTAAAACTTTTATATTGTCATTTTATTTTGTATGAAATTACTGTACTTTTTGCTAGAAAAAGTTTGTATGAAAATAGAAATAAGCTTGAAAACTTTAAAAGTATAAATTGCAGAGCCTTCTTGAGCCAATATGAACTAATTTATTGTAAACTTCTAGGTAAACATTATAGCTCTGTCTTATATTTTCATAATTTTAAGATACATATTTCAGATATAAATGAACAAAGGCAGTTAAATCTATAAGGTTACTGTAAGTTGGTATTTTACAGGTTGGCGGCTAACAATGAGCAGTTTCTGACGAAGGTGCTGGGAATCAAAGACCCAAAACATCGGTCCAAGATTACCATTAAGGCTATGGATGTGGTTCTTTTTGGTCCGCCTAAAGGTCAGAAAAATGGAGATGATCCAGTATATTTGTGATATAAAAGGTGTTAGTATTTAACATCTAAGATTTTCAGCATTTGTTTTACTATGCCACATTAAGTTTTGTGTGGTTGTTGCTTTTAATTACTTTACTAATTTCTATCATATAGAAATTTAGTTTAGAGCAATTGTAAATGAAGGTTAAAGAAGGTCACTGGTAAAATTAACCACATATAAGAGTGTTAATACTGTTCTTAACTCTATAAGGTCCTGTAATATAAAAAAAAGTTGTGAGAATTAGTTGCACTGATTTAATATTACCTTGTTGAAGAATGAAGAACCTTTCCAGATGTTGAGAATAGTGTTGAATAAGCATGTATAGTGATACGTGCTTATTCAACACTATTTGAAGATTTTTAAATGTTTGTTTACAATTTACAGAGCTAACTCTAAGTCAGTTGATACACAAATCTTTCTTCTTTCAACGCACCGGCCGTATCCCACCGAGGCAGGGTGGCCCAAAAAAGAAAAACGAAAGTTTCTCTTTCTAAATTTAGTAATTTATACAGGAGAAGGGGTTACTAGCCCCTTGTTCCCGGCATTTTAGTTGCTTCTTAAAACACGCATGGCTTACGGAGGAAGAATTCTGTTCCACTTCCCCATGGAGATAACAGGAAATAAACAAGAACTAGTAAGAAAATAGAAGAAAACCCAGAGGGGTATGTATATATATGCTTGTATGTGCAGTGTGACCTAAGTGTAAAAAGAAGTAGCAAGACATACCTGAAATCTTTCATGTCTATGAGACACAAAAAAGATACCAGCAATCCTACCATCATGTAAAACAATTACAGGCTTCCATTTTACACTCACTTGGCAGGACGGTAGTACCTCACTGGGCGGTTGCTGTCTACCAACCTACTACCTAGGTTGATACACAAATGAGTTAGCAAATATAAATTCATGCCTTGTTCCTAATATTAATCAAATTATGATCCTCATTAAGTATTCATCCCAAGCATATCCTGAAGAGATGACAATGTTTGGCACATATATACCATAACATGTAACAACAGAAGTACCATAGTAATAAATAGGATTTACAGTGGAACCTCAGTTTTCATTTGCCCTGGTTTTCGTCGAATTCGGTTTTCGATGACTTTTTTCATCAAAATATTGTCCCAGTTTTCATTCATCACCTTGGTTTTCATCCACCGTACTGAACATGTCCATCTGCCCATGCCCACACAAAGCATCCCACGCACATGTTCCGAGTCAGTCTGGCTTAGTTTCTCATTGAGTGACCATTACCCTGTGCATTCATATGAAACATTTTGTAATAATCCATTGTTTTTTGTGCTTGTTTATTGAGTTTGACTGCTAAATAAGCAACCCTGGGGCAAAAGAAAGTTCTGAGTGCCAGCCATTTGATAAAGAAGGCGAGAAACACGATAGAATTCAATGGTGGTAGAGGGTGACAGTGATGGTGGTAGAGGGTGGTAGTGATGGTGGTAGAGGGTGGTGGTGGTAGTGATTGTGGTAGAGGGTGGTAGTGATTGTGGTAGAAGGTGGCAATGATGGTGGTAGTGATGGTGGTAGAGATAACCTCTCCCCTCCTCGCCGTCTTCCGTATGCCAACAAGATTCTTCAATAAAGGTAAAAGTGATTCAAATGTTCATTTATCCATTTCATTAGTGTTTATTTATTTCTCATTGTTTTCTGTATGTAAAACTATAGTTGTTCTCTATAAAATGTATTTTTTGTTAATATTTTTGGGCGTCTGGAATGGATTAATTGGATTTACATTATTTCTTATGGGAAATATTGTTTCAGTTTTCGTCAAATTCGGTTTTCATCAGACTCTCTGGAATGAATTAGACAAAAACTGAGGTTCTGCTGTATATAAATTGGATGTAGGCTAAAAATTTAATTTATCAGTTTGTGGGTCCCTGCAAGTGCCATTTTGCAACTGTTAAAAAAGCAATTGCACGTCCTACAGGACAGAGTATTTCGTATAGTTAGCATTTTTAATACAGTTGAAATTTATTTTAATTGTATTTCTAATACAGTTGAAAAGTTATTTCATCAGTGCTTTCTTGTGTACACAGTTTCCCTGTTTTAAGTAGTTCATTTAGTATTTAATGTGTAGAGCTCATAAATCTGCTGGCCTGTGTCATAATGTTGAAAATATACCTTTATCACTTCTACTGTTATTTCAGCAGTGGTAAAAACCTAATGTACACCATTTGTTTTGGTAAAGAGCTGTACTGGTATTGCTAGGTTTCTTGAATCAACACAAAATCTGTTAAACCATTTATCTTGTCACTAATGCTCTGTTCCTTAAACTGTCCAACCATAGATCTACGCTCACGTGCGTAGCACTCCGAACATAATTAGTGCAACTATTAAAGCAAAGAAAGAGGTATACATAAACGAGTGTCTGACCAAAAAATGGCAGAACCTCCTGTATAGTCAGAAAACTTAAGCGGGAGAATAATGACAAACTCCACCAATGCTTCACAAGGGATGGGAAGATTCTAGTGAAGAAAACAAGTGTAGGCCAGCTGTATACTACCACAAATGAGAATGAATTATCATGATTTCTTCGAGATACTAATCTTAAAGAGACTGATTAAACAATGTCCAAACCAAAAGCCTACGTTGCAGTGTATGTTTTGCTCCACTATTGTACAAATTTGACAGTACAATCTCTTAACCCCTTGACTGTCAAAACCCCAAATCCTGAGGTGTCTCCTCGTGTTGAAAATTTTTTGAAAAAAAAAAAAAAAAATTCTTATGAAATGATAGAGAATCTTTTCCCGATGATAACGACACCAAAAGAATGAAATTTGATGGAAAACTTAAGAAATTATGCTCTCGTGAAGTTAGCGACCTCGGTGATATTTATGAATCGGCGATTTCACCCACTTTGAGCCCTATTTTTGGCTAATTCCATTGTTCCAGTCGACCAAATTTGTAGCTATTTCTTTAGAACTCGATTTGTTCGATCGATTGAGTACAAGAAACTGCCCATTTACCAATGTCAACTACCCAATAACGTGGTCAGAAATTTGCAATTTGGCCAATTTCATGCAAATTAAAAAATATGCCAATTTCAAAATAGGGTCCAGAATGAAAAATGCAGACTTTCCTGGCTTTAAAATAACATTGTCTTTGTTCATCAGTCACGTCTCCAGGCCCCTCTGATATTACTCTTGCTTTCTATTTTGAATTTTTATTCAAACAAAAAGTAGAAGATTTACTGTTATGCAGACTACTGCAATTTTGTAATAATTGTATAAATAATGTCAACCCATTCATGACTGCATATCAGAATGGCTAGTTGGACATTTATTGGACAATGACATCATTTGTTTACTTTTGAACATCGGCAAAAATCAAACATTTCCCCTAATTTGAGCTCAATTTCAAGGTTCTTTTCATAGTAAAACCAATCAAAATCACCTCTATTTCTATAATATGTTTTCCATTCTATCAAATGAGACCAAGAAAATGAGAATACACCCATAAATACCATACGAAAATAGACCACTAAGTCGGCATTTTAATTAAAAAAAAAACGGTCAGTTTTTTTTTCTCATTATGCACTGCATGCTGCAGGATTTTTTTTATATGGTGCACACTGACCACACAGACCCATTCTCTCACATGTGGGCCTACCAGCTTTCTCCTGCTTGATTTGAAGCCGCTAGAATTTGAGTATATATATGTCAAACACGGTGGCTCGTAAGATGTATATATATAACCAAAACAGTCAAAGAGTTAATGCCTAGTTCTATTGCTAACTTAATATATGTTAGTGTAAACTTGTTATCTAGTATTTGTTTGCATTTATAAGTGGAAAAAAAGGGTGTTCCACTTTATGGCGATTTCTGCTGTATGGCGGTAGCCTGGAACCTAACCGGTCGTATAAGTGGGGCCCTACTGTATGTACATTGCACCTTACTTCGGACTCACAGGCCACATAAGTTATGTGAAAAAATAAAATAGTGAAAAAAAGCAGGAAACCTTGGAATGTAAGTAAACCAAAGTTTACCAGGTGAGTGGCTTTTGCAGCTGTTGCCATACACAGCTCATTTTCTGCCAATTTTACTCCTCTATATCTCCATAAGTACTGATCACAAAAATTTGTTTTGGGGCTTCAAACAATTAGAAAATTAATCTTAACATTTTCATAAGATTTTTTTTTTTTTTTTTTAAACCCGTAAACGGTCCAAGTAAATCTACGTTCACATGTGTAGTGCTACAAAAGTAGATGATGTTTTTTTTTACATATTTTCAAATGTAACAAAAAAAAGTAGATCAAAGTTTTTTTACACATTTTCAAATGCAAAAAAAAAAAAAAAAAAGATCTACTTTTTTTACATACTTTCAAATGTTGAAAAAACGTATATATACGTTTGGATCGTTTACAGGTTAATATTCTTCGACACCAGGAGACACTTCAGGATTTCTATTACTAGTTATAATTTTTTATGAACAGCTATTAGGATTCAGTATTGCACTGGTAGAAATATTAGAGCTTATAGAGGCAATATAGAGTATTTAACCCTTTGATTGTTTTGATCATATATATACGTCTTACGTGCCACTGTTTTGGACGTACAGTGGACCCCCGAGTTTTGTGATTAATCCGTTCTAGAGAGTCTGCCGAATGACGAAATTGCCGAATGGCGAAACCATTTTCCCCATAAGAAATAATGGAAATAAAATTAATCCGTTCCAGACACCCAAAAATATTAAAATAAGTTTTTTTTTTTTTCAAATTAAATAAAGATTTACATACTGAAAACAATGAGAAATAAAGTACATACATATATAAAATAATAACATTACACTTGCCTTTACTGAAGACTTCTGGGTGGATGGAAGACGGGAGGAGGGGATAGGAGGAAGGTGTACGCTATTGTTTGGAAGGAGAATCTCCTTCCATCAGGACTTCAGGTACGAAGTCCTTATCTGGGGTTACTTCCCTTCTTTGTTTTTTAAAGACACTGGGAA